TATAGTCCCACATCGGTTAGGAAGGCGAACGAAGCATGCCATATATATGGGTGTGGATACCTTCCTTGTGAGGAGGCCTTTTGGGGTGGCATGCGTGTCATCGCCAAGAGCAAAACCGTGCGGCCGTGGGCCAAAGCGGACAATATCCTCATGCGGGTTGCTTGGGCTGTTACATTGGTATCAGAGCCGGGGCCCGGATCGGTGTGCCAGCGAGGGCGCTGGACTCCCTTGAGGGGGGGTGGATATAGTCCCACATCGGTTAGGAAGGCGAACGAAGCATGCCATATATATGGGTGTGGATACCTTCCTTGTGAGGAGGCCCTTAGGGATGCCATGAGGGCATTGCCTAGGACAAAACCCTGAGGCCTGAGGGCAAAGGGGACAATATCTGGCCATGTGGGGTCGCTGCGCTACTCTGATGGGTTGGCAGGACTTGCCTTGGAGGAGGCCTTTTGGGGTGGCATGCGTGTCATCGCCAAGAGCAAAACCGTGCGGCCGTGGGCCAAAGCGGACAATATCCTCATGCGGGTTGCTTGGGCTGTTACAGGAGTGGCCAAAATTCGTTCAAAGCGCTCAAAAACTTGCTCTAAGCGACCCAAGTTAGAGACTATTTCTAAGAAACAACACAGGCTCGCTTGGAGCAACCCACAACTCATTCGGAATGGCCAAAATTCGCTCAAAGTGCTCGAAAACTTGCTCTAAGTGACCTAAGTTAGAAAACATCTCTAAGAAACCACCCAGGCTTGCTTGGAGCGACCTCATAGGCACTTTGAGCAAGCAAACCCAAAAAATATGCAGATTTGAAGCTCAAGAATATCAACCCAGCAAAACACTTCAATCGTCCAAAAATCCATCCAAGTCATACATCAATTCATCCATGCAACTCAATCATTCATACATATACTTCCCTAATAACTCATTTTGCCCCAAAACCACCACATGCAACTACAAAATCTGTCAAGATCATCAAAATCATCTTAGCCACCTTAAGAACGATCAAAACTCCACCAACACAACCTTCAAATACGCAAATCCTCTAATTCATGCAACAATTGATAATCTCAATCACTTACAACACAAAAATTCAACCAACCAATCTTCCTAACTTTCCTTACCTCGATTTTGAACTTTTTGGAAGAAAAAAAAAAAGGAGAAGAAAAGAGGCTTTGAGCTTCTAACCTCCATCAACTTTGTACCACCTAACTCATATTCTTAACCTTCAAATACTTTGAATCTACTATCTAACAATAATCCTCACACTAGAGGGATCTAAGAAGAAGAGAAGAAATGGGTCAAATTTATTCTCTTTAGAAATTCTCTCTAAAGTCTAAAAATTATGAATTTATGAAATTCAACTCAAAATAAAATTT